TTTTTTTTTTGAACAATCAATTTTTGTTTATAAACATTCAATCCAATATTGAACAAAATTCATTCAACCCAACCTAAATATAACATTAAAATTCATCATATTTTCCTGCTCAATCCCAAACTTTACAATCATTCCATTCAAAACATTAATTGAGACAAGTTTTAAATATCCATCTATTGAAAACCAGTAAGTAATTGAACAAAAATTAAAAGCAAAATCAATGAAGGAATCCAAAAAAAATTCTAAAACAGGAAGGAATATATATGGTTTTGAAGCATCAGCCTTGTGCTTGATCGTTTTTGGAAGTCACCTACAAATAAAATAAGAAAAGTTAGAATCCAGAAAAACATCCAAAATGAAGTATTCTCATAAAAAAAAATTAACCATATGGCAAAAACTTTATATGATTACATTACAAACATTTGATGATGACTATACCACAATTAAGTATTGGCATACCTAAACAATGAGACAAAGCAGCTCAGCAAGTCTCGCCAAGATAATCCTTCAGTAATACTTTGAGACAACAAGGATGTTCTGCAAGAAACAATAACGTCTTGTAGATGAACCATTGCAGCATATAATTGAAATATATAATTGAACATGAGTGAAAGATTACATGTTCTATTATTCTGTCTCAAATCAAAAAGAGGAACTCCTTTAAACAAAGGGCTCCCTGATACCCAAAAAGAAACCAAATGTCATTCTGTTTAAAATTCTATTTGTGTATCAAATAAATGAACAGGTTTTAACCTACCTTAAAATGCTCCAGTGGGTACTTGACATCAGCCAAGTTGATTTGTTCCTACAACACAATGGTGGAGAAAAATTAGACCAAAGAATAGTACACTTCATACAAGCAATTTTAGCATAAAAATTTGTATGAATTTGGGTAAATTATGATTGTACAATCGAAGGCTACCAAAGAGCAATTAACAAATTTTAAATATAGCCATCAAAAGGAGATACATGAATAGATATAACACATGAAAGCTTAGCCAACATCATGAGTATTATTCATGAACCAAAAATGAAAAGGGGGGCAAATCCAATGTATGTTTTTGGTCAATCTGTTTAAGCTTCAAATTTTATTAAGATTGCTTAATTAAACTGAATATCAAAGACCATTTTTAAATCATCACTTAGTAATTTATTCGAAGACTAGAGGCACACAGTAGGGGCAGGATTTAAAAATGTCCTGACCCATTAATTGTTTCAGAAACTAATGCATGTAGTGGGCATCCAACACAAGCCTTAAACCCCAATTACATAGGTTTTCTACACAAATCAATGAACCCTTCTTTGCCATAAATTTCAGAATGCATGTTCATGAGTTATAGGGACAAAAAACATTAGCAGTCTACCTAACAAACATACAAGCACAGCCCATATGAAAATCCACTCAATATGACTTCAAATCACATCTACTGGATGCTGGTTATGTGAATCCTCTAATAACATTATAAGCCGTGTTGAAGAGGTTTTACTGAATGCTTCATGAATGGTCTATAAATCATGATTTTGCATTATAGGCATTGGATTAATTGCTCGAAAGACAAAACGGTAAATATAACAAAGGATAACATAGTCAGACTTACAAACATGTGCACATAAATAAGTTTACTTAATTGAAAACATCAAGCGTCCATTATAATAATATCATCAAAGAAAAAAAATATCATTCTACTTCTTCTCCACTTAAAGGTAAGAAGAACATTAACGAGCAGAGCAGAGACATAAGTCTGTCTTTCGTACCATTCAAAACCACACTTCACTCAAAAGGGTTACAGACAAGTTGACTTCCAATCACAAATAAACTTACAAGGGTTAGCACCATCACAAGTCTTCTCAAGAAGAATCACAGCCCAAGAAAGCCACTTTATGGCATCAGCATACTTCCCCTGTTTGTAATTATCCATCCCCTTGTTCTTCGCAGCTGAGGCTGAAACACCAGTAGGCGGTGTTTGGACAGCAAATGGTGAGGCGAGGTGGGGTGAGGACAACATTTTATATGAAAACTTCTCAATGGAAAAATTAACCAAGAGAAATTAAAACAAAATCAAAAACTAAAGATGACAAGCAAAAGAAATAACAAATTATATTAAAAAAAAGTGCTTACCACATGCCCTACTGACTGCCGCATGAGTTGCATCTCCTAAATAGCGTAGCCGCAACTCATCACCAGGTACAAGACGCAACTCATTATCTGCCTACAACATAAAGTGTACTTTTAGCTTTAACAAAGTGTACAAGTTTAGCAACTTTGGGAAAAAAGTATATATAAGGGGACACCACTGACTCAGGTCCCAATTCATATCCTTCAATGCATTGACACTGAGACAAGGCTTTCTGCCCAAAAGAACGACAACACTCTCTGTCTTGGCAGAGATGCATCCAAGAAGGAAAGCATTTCGACAACCACAATTGTAACATACAAGGATTGTTTCTCCCAGGGGACTATCTTTTTGAAGACAAACTTCCTTGTGTTTAGCTCGAACCTACGAAAAACAATAGCATAAATGGTCCATGTTTATGTATCCTGATAATTGGTTTCCTATCTTTGTTTAGTAAATTGTCCATGGAAACCCTAGGTACCTCTTGATAGAATATTCATAAAATACTCTACATTAAATTGCTTGCCTTGAAGAAATCTTGGAGCAGATCTAGAATGCCTGGGCATTAGGTGTTAAAACCACAAAAACATCTCTACATGCTAGGGTAAGACTACGAATATCTAACTCTTATCAAACTTCGTAGTGGTGAGAGTCTAGTGCACCTAGAATAAATATATAGTTTTTAATTTGAAGATTCTTCTCCATGTTTTTATGTCTACTTTCCTTGTTATTTTATTTTCTTTAAGACAATAGTCTAATTAATTTATTTGCCATATCTTTATTTATGACTGTAAACTTCCTATTCATATATTTCATTGATCCAAATATCATTTATCATCTTGCCAGATTATTTTATAACATTATATCGTTATTATTTCGACAGAAGCAAACTCTGTGAGTAACAATTGTGTAAAGATATGTTCAACTGAGAACGTTTTCTGACTATTTAACGAAACTGTTTTCTGAAGTAATTATTGTTAATTGTTTGAATGTATGTCCTATATTTTGAAATGTATTGTGGCATCCTTAGCAACTGTTGTATACGATTACTGCTACTGTTACAGTGATCTCTGTCGGTTCCCTCGTGGAACCACTACTGTTTACTGATTGATGGCCATCATTACTGTTCGGTCTTTAAGACCTACTGTTTACTGCTATGCTAATGGATGTACCACATATGACTGAATAACTGTTCTGACTGAAAGACTGAAGTATTGTTTAATGAACTGCTTTCGTTTTCATTACTGTAAGGACATTCATTCTAAACCCCTTTACGCTTTATGTTATTCACTGGGCTTTAGCTCACTGCTCATATATATATGTAGGTGTACAGGCACCGGATCAAAGCTAGAGGCGTCAGGGTTATTCCAGTTTTGTCAAGCCAACCACCGTGCCTCACTGCGAGGTTCCGAGTTCGCCATGCTATAGCTTGGGGTGTCTTTTCCCCCGCTGGTCCCTGTTACTATTTTGTATTACTGTATAGACTGTTATTCACTAAACTGTACTGTTATCAAGGGATTAGATCCCTGTACTGAATGTCTGTAAATGCTTGTGTAGCCTGTACTGTTGTGACTATACGAATGCATAAAAAAAAATCTTTTTGGCATACAGACTGTCACAGCTCAATGGACATTATTTATTTACTGTATTGGCTTTCGCCAGGCCCTGTACTCTGTTTTACTGTACTACTGTTCTGTAGGCCTTCAGTAATCTCGGATTACTGGCCGGTTACGGTGCTAAACCCATAGGGCCGGGTTTGGGTCGTGACACGTCGAAATCAAGTTTTGGCCATACCAGTGTGAAGTACACATTAAGCCGAGTCCAACGCAACAAACCGCATCAAAATCAGAGCTAAAACGAAGCTGTACGGGGTAGGCGAAATTTGCCCAGAAATTCACCTATTTTGTAGAAGAGAACGACCAGAAGTTGGCAGACAAAGAAATTATTGTGTGCATTGCGGCTAAGTTACATCATGTCATAGCCAAACAATCAAGTTCAAATCTATAATGAGCCAAATATATGCACAAAGATTTAAGGTGGCAAAGTGGTTAAGTGTTTAACATTTTTCACAAGGACATGAGTTCAAATCTTGTAGGCAACAACATTGTTTATATTTTTTGCCACACCACTAAGCCATGCTGCAAGCCGAGCCATTACATGCAGAATAAGTCAGAAAAATTATCAAGTTCTTTGTGGAGCCTAATTCTCCTCCGATCTGAGCCGTCGGATCCATTTTAGTTATAATTATGCCATCCAGAGTCCGATTCCAGCAATCGAATAGTCGTTTCCAACTATTTAGAGCCTTCTGAACACATTCGTACGATCTGATTTTGCAAATTCCATACCAAACATTCATAGATGTTATATGCAATGCCACATATCGCAGTTAAAAACAACATTTTTGCCGTCATACCTGAAGTTTGCTCAATGCTAAATTCACTAACTACATCTTATTTGGAGACTCTCTGCCTATCTCCCAGCTCGACTCATTTGTCACCAAAGGATGAATTCCTTCCGAATAACAACTTTCACTCCACAGCATTAGACATTCTCAGAACAACAACAATTTTTAATTTGTCTACCTCTTCGACAAAAATCTCATAATTTCTCGAAAACACGAGGGCACAGAATCCGTTTCAAATTTTTATCGGCCTACTCGGCAATTTTGGCCCACGTCCATTTTATTCCTTCTGAATAACAAATCTTATTCAAAAGCAATGGGGCAAATATACGTTGGACAAGAAACTCAACTTTAATAAATTGGCAACCATTGCCAACCAAGTTCTTAGCAAATCCAACTCTGAAGGGATGCCGACACACCGTGAAGCTAAGAGAAATCGCCGACCAAACGATCGGCACAATCACCGTCCCAAGTGTAAACGGACACCGATGTTTTGACACTAGTTACTCGGCAGTGCATCAACTTTGCCCGGCAAGATTATTCGACCATTATTAATTCAACATTATGCACGATCATTATTCGGCCGTGGATCAACTTTATTCGGCTAAGCAACATTATTTGTCAACTTTATGCATTGTCAAACTTTATGCAGTAACATTGGCCATAGTATTCGGCAACTTTATTCGCCTACCAACATTATTTGGCAAAACAATTGCCTACTGGGACATCAGTCAATTTTCCGCTTTCCAATTGGGGCAAATCAGTCGATCATCATCTCAGCACCTTTGATATGCATGCATACTCGGCCAACTTGGTATATAAACATTACAACGACGTTTACCTGAGTTACAAACTCCCACTCCTTTTCACACAGCTTGAAGCAAGCGCCCGTTTTGGGGCAATACGTTACACACTTGGTAGTCGGCAGTTTGCATATTTTTGCGCGCCGTCATTTTACCAAAGTCGAATCTTCCCTGCAACATAGGGCATTGGGAATCTATATTCCTTCCAACTAACACCTGTCATTCGAAAGTAATGGTGCATGTCTACCTTGGACTAAACGCAAATCGAGCAACTCGGCAATTAAATCGTTGGCCCAATATCTACTTGGCAATTCCATACAAGCGGAGCAATATTATTGGTGATTAACACGTCCACCTTATTCGGTACAGGATACATTATTCAAAGTCCTTGCCATGTTGGCACTTGGTTACCACTTAAAATCAGCAAAGTCTCTGAGTATAGTGTAATCTTCGCACTCGGCACGGAGCGCCATCAGAGCAGGCCTACACCTACGCCTGGAGGTTAGAATACCGCGGCCTACACCTATGCCTGGAGGTTAGAATACCGCAGCCTACACCCTTACCCGGGGGTTATAATACCGCAGGATCTACACCCTCACCGGGGGTAATAATACCGAAGTCCAATTTTTGGCTAATATTCTACC